TGTGGCTGTGATAGCTGTTGAGGGGGAAAAAACATCTTGGAAGAGTGGGAATTCACCCCCTGATCCCTAGATCAGGAGCTCCTCTCTGATCCAGGAGTTTGTGTAGGCGTGTTTGTTGAGCATCACGTGTGGCGGTGGTGATAGGGACTGGTGCTGATGGTGTTGGCACCGGCGTCTGAACCACTGGCAGCTCCCAGCTCAGTAACACTGAAGCCAAGTACTCCTTTGAAAACAGCTGATGTGTTAGCAGTGGTATGTGTCCTGCAGTTTAGGATCTCCTACCTCTGTGTTTTGATTTCAGCTCTTGGGTTTCTTTTTTATGCCGGTGCCCATCCTGAGAAACATGAAAATGAATTTGACTGTAGGGGAGGATAGTGTTTTTCTCGTATGTGAGTGTGTTTGCCTCTAGAAAGCAGAAAAATACAGTTTTAAAACATCAACTCTTTCGGGTATCTCAGGCTGAGTATGCAAAAGCTGCCCTTCAGGACCTTCTAATGCTCAGATGCTGTAAAGTTATTTTGTTGGCCTTTTGCCATGCAGCAGTGACGTATATGGGAGCATTGCTGTAGGCACCTGACAAAGCAGGCATTAGTGACGTCGGGCACAAAATTGTTGACCGTTTATGACACCAAAGGTCAACTTCAAGGTTATCTTCTTACATGAGGTAGAAGTCTTTCAGAGATTATAGCAAGACTTGCCAGTTCCTTAACTAAAGTAGAATGAGAACGTCGTTCTGAGAGTTTTTAAGATGTATTCTTACTCCATCTGCCTCTTTAAAAATAGTTGCTATCATATGAGCCAAAGCCTGAGATAACTCAAAGCAAGTGTCTTGCTATGATGTACAGGAATTGCTTGAAGTCAAAGTGGTGGAAGTAGAAGTTAATAGTGCATACAAAATGTGAATTATTTTGACTGAAGAATCAAACACACAACTGAAGTGCCAGGTTTGCAGTTATGTGGTTGCCTGCTTTGCTCCGTCTGAGCCATTGGGGATGGGGACAGCAATCCCCGAGGCAAAGAGAGATCCTGTAGGTCTGTGGCAGCATTACACATACATATCAGAGATCTACTGTTGTTGGTACGGAAGATGGCAGGGTTTTTGTTGGTTTGGTTCTTTAAACAATATGGAAAAACTGTAAAGATACTGATCGAGTGTGGAACAGGTCTTTGTAGCTTTACAGTGAGTTAAAAGTTTAATTTTCTTCTTTAAAAGAAGAGGTAACAAGCGGTGCTACATGTTGCAGTCCATCTCCAAGGAGGAAGAAGCCGTGCAGTATTACCAGTGTGTATGTGAATGACTTCATGCAGTCTTCTCATAGCTCGATTACAGATCACTTTTCTGTAATCCTGATTTCAGTGTAGAGCATCCTGTGACTAAGATGGTTTCCTAGCTCGAAGATCAGCAACATAATATCCTATTTAGGGCAAAGCGTTATATTACATCATTTTATGAGACACTATGGTGTCAATACATACCATTCCAATCTAAGTCGCAAATAGCAGGAGAAAGAGAACAGTCAAGAAACTGTATTTTAGCTTTTTACAATCTGTGATTAGAAATGAAACAGATATTTCAACACCTCATAGTAGCTGAATGATAAGAGCAGTCACCGGGAAGGGGAGGAGAGCTCTAGTGTTTACCTAAAGCAGGAGGCTGCCAGTTTCTCTTGTTTAGATAGGTCCCAAGAAGAGTCCCGGAGTCTGATAATACCAGAAACAGAGAGAACTGAAACAGAACAAAACCCTGTAATTGATAAAGATGTTGTTCCTCCCCTGCCCAACGGAGCTGTTCCTGTCAAAATAGGATTTTAATCACAATAACTTGAGGTGACATTACTGTTAAGTTTATTACTTTCAAGCCGTGAGCAGAATGCTTTCAGAAACCGAGCACATAGCTATACGTTAAGGTAATAGTGTTATTTAAAAGGATTCTTGACTGATAGCCCACTTGCCTTATGTTGGTTACATGTTCCTTCCCCAGTCACCATATATGACTGGTTTGAGTTCTTCTTAAGGGTCTTCTGAAACAAACTTGTGTCACTGGAGAGTGAAGGCTGAGACAGTGACTAGTAAGCATTTAGAAGAGAAGAAATATACCTGAACTGAAAGTTGCAAATTAAAGATTATGTATTTTTAACAGCCTCCATTTCAGAGTTCTGAAAGTTTCTCAGCTGCTTTATTTTTCTGTTATTACTTGGACTTTAAGTCAGCAATTTACCCATCAAAACAAACTGTCTAGTTCACGAACAAACTGTCTAGCTAGCAAAGGAGCTAGAGCCAATTCCCAGTAGAGCCAGTGGAAAAGTTTTCATTGAGTTCAGTGGGTTTGATAGCTGGCAGTCTTTGATGCAAATAAAAGAGAATCAGAATTCATGATAGGACGTGTTAAGAGAAATTTAAAAAAAGGCAGAATACGTTTTTCCTCTCTGAAAAAAAAAATAAAAATGGACACAACTATCAAGTTTCACTTTTTTTCCCCCCTTGCATAATGGCATAGTCTTTGGATACCTCCCTGAGGCCAGTATGTGATGACTGCTCTTTGAGGGGGAGCACACCTGCCACCCAGGTCACAAAGATAGGTTTGGGCTTATTTAAAAATAGGTTTAGTTAAGGCTTGGTATAGTCATTTTTCCAATAATTTTTGTAGTTTCGAGCAATATGCATTGCACTGCTGTATGCTTCCATTTATCCGGACAAGCTTAAAAGCACTGGCTCTATAGCACTAGAGTCAGGGCAAATAGAAAATCACGTTTTGTCAACCTCATGGCTGTTTATGTGAAACCTGGTGGTTTTCTTGTATTGCCACGTGAAACTCTCACGAAATAAGTTTCTTTCAGTTTTCCTTTTTGGGTTGTTAAAGTGAAGTTTGTATTTTTTTCCAGAATTTAGTTTATTTAAGATTTTGTATATGTAGATTTGTATAATATACCTAATGAGTAAAACATCTGCTGACCTGGGATTTCCTGTTGCTAAACACAACTTACCTGTTGCTGTAATGGGACTTTTAACGAACTATCTATAAAGTAGTTTGAATTTGTGACTTCTCTTGCAATTAAGATAAATAGCAAATGTTTCAAACTGAAGCGGCAAGTCAACACTATAAGTAAAATGTAATTTTTCCAGCTGAACCTGTTCAACTGAGTATGTAAAATTACTATTTTTTTAAATATATAAAATCTTCATCCCCATATGTACCTGCATGTGCATCAAGAATCCAGGAAAATGTATCCTCATAACTTGCTTCTGTTTACAAATGTTTTGCTGGCTCAAGAGCATCAATCAATTGGATTTTTCTTTTCTTCATCTGTCTGCTTCAGTTTGGTGGTGGTTGTGTTACTTTGCATTGTCCCAGCCAGCAGAAAGCCGAGACACAAAGGCTGTTTGGGTCCCAGGCTGGGTGGCATGGGCCAGAACTGACCAAAGAGTCACTTGAAGGTGCCCTTTGCTTTGGGCAAGAGGTGTTGCATGGTTTTGCTGACCTAAAATCGCTTTCCCAAGCAGGAAAAGGGGATGTGATGGTGTGAGACACTTAAACTGGAGAAATGTGGTTTCTTGCTGAGCCAGCTTTACCCTGCACTGCTTTGAGCCCAGATTGCTCATTTCCAAACAGTCTGCTGTACTAACGAGGTGAGGAACTTGTCCTTTCATGTACATCCCTTATGGATGAAGCCCTGTGGTGGCTCCTTTCTGAGGAGCGTTCCTACAGGGACTTGTTCCATCAAAGAGTATTTTGGGAGTCTCTGAAAAGCCCGAGGACAACTGTGAGGCAGTAATACAAATAGGTGGTGAAATAGGTCAGATGTTTTTACTGCTCTGCTGTTTTGGCTGGTGTGGTTCGGATGCTGTCGGGATCTAATTTTACATAAGTATAGTTTGCTTCAGATACTATTTAGCACGTGTGAAAAGTGTAACGCATCTCACGTAACTGTCCGACCTGCTCTGGGAGGGCCAGAGACAGTGCTGACTGCTTTGCCTTTCCGTGGTGTATTCACAGGGCCTCTGGCCCATGTCTGGTGATTAATTCAAATAAAATGCCTGTGTCCTGATGTAGTGTCTTGTTCTTCTGGTTTCTCTTCAACCATGTTCTTAAAGGAGAGAGGTGGATGTAAGTTTTGTCCTTTCTTTTGCACAGTTTCAGTTCCCCAACCTGTGAAATACTTTCCAAGACGTTAAACTTTAAAAATCTCTCTTAACTAATTTTACAACTTCTTACTAAGCGGTGAAGTGCTGAAATGCATTTAATTAGTTTTGCCATTGAAAGGAATACCATGATTTAGGGCAGTATCTCTTAATTATATTCTAACAAAGTCTTGTGAAGAGGCAGAGCTAGTGGCAACAAAAGTCTGCAATTAAGACAGGGTATGTTGCCTGAATTACAAGATAATTGTCCAGGCAAGATTGTTGGAATAGATTCAGAGACTGTGGATGCGAATACTCTCTCTAGGTGTTTGGCATATACAGCAGAGAGGGGAACTTCTCAGGAGCGTGTTTGTTATATTGTACAGACCACTGCGCAGTTAGCCTCAGAGCTGCATGTTTTGTTCTGCAAACTTTCATGGCCTCATCTGGTTTATGGTTGTGTGGTTGTTTTGTGTTTTTTTTTTTTTTTAATATCTTCCTTTTTTTACAGGCTCTTAGTCCGGTGTAAAGCTGATGGGTGGGAGCAAAGGTAAAGAATGATGTAATGCAGCAGCAGCCAGAAAGCATCTTTTGTTTGAATTGTGAAATGGCTACTCCATAGTCATCTCCCGATGAATCAGATGTGAGGGGCTGCTTTCTGGAATGAACCCTTTGTAACGGCACATCAACTGGAAGCAGGAGGAGACATTCAGTTGAAGAGCTCTTTCTGAAAATGGGTTTAACTTTTCTTTTGCCAGTCACTACCAGCATGACCTCATACACTTCTAATACAATGGTGTGGCTAAGCCTTTGAGTACACAGCCATTACATCATCGCAGCAAATTAGAGAGGGAGGTGGTGAAAGAGGCCTTATTGTTGTCATGGCCGATGAGATGATCAGGACTCAACTCATTGTCGCCGAGAAGTTGGTGGCTTTGCTGGAGAGTGGTACAGAAAAATTGCTGCTGATTGATAGCCGTCCCTTTGTGGAGTACAATACCTCCCACATCTTGGATGCCATCAACATCAACTGCTCCAAGCTTATGAAGCGAAGGCTGCAGCAGGACAAAGTTTTGATTACAGAGCTCATTCAACATTCAGCAAAACACAAGGTAAGGGTCATTTTCCTCTTATTCCTTCTATTTGTTTAAAGGAGTGCCTGGAAAGCAACTTGTAATAATTTTTCTTTAGGTTTTTTTTTTTTTTTTTTTTAAAAAAAAACCCCAACAAAACGAACTAGGGGACTGAGTTTTGCTGAGCTCTTACCTGATCTAAGAGAGTATTGGTTACTACTGTTTATCTTTGGGATTCTTTGTAGCCTGCTCTCCCCTAAGTGACAGAGTAATGGGCAGGGATTTAGAAATCACTCAGAAAGAACTCTCTCAGCGTTCCCGTCTGTCTTGCAAAGCACAGTCCCTAAAATGTCCATAATTAAGGCAGAAACCATTCTCCTCCTAAACTTTGAAGGATTCTTTGGGGTCTGTGGTGGTGGGGATTGCTTAGCAAGTGGTCATACAGTTTGCAAAGAAACTGTAGCTCTGTCAATCCTGGCTTCTACTTGCTGTTTAAAGTGCTTTTTGTGTGAGTCGTTTGATGGGTTTTGGTTGTTTGGGTTGAGGGGGGGTGATGTGAGACTTTTCTGGGTGGTTTTTGTTGGAGTTGATTTGTTTGTTTTTTAAAATAGTGTTATCAGTGAAAAGGAAATAGCTGAGCTGTTTAAACTTAATGTGTATCTATGTGTGTGATTTGATTTTTTTTTTCTAATCCATTGGTATTTGTTTCAATTGTTTTGGGTACAAAAATAATCTATTACATTCTTGCTTTGACATGTTAAAAACTGAGGCTTTTTAGGATTATTATCATTATCTAAAGCATATTTTATACATAAAGTTGTATAGATGGCTAAAATGTGTCTGGCTTTAGGCATTTTAGGGTCTCTCTACTGTTCATACACAAAAACCTCAGAAGCAGAAACTGAGGTAGGGCCTTCTTTTAAAAAGCTTAATTTTTAAACCATCCAACCAACCTAGCAGAAGGTAAAGCATTGTACAAGTGATGTAAAATGACCTAATGGTAGAAATTTGAAGAGTGTGCTTCAGCTTGGAGCAAATAATCAATTTGCAAACTCTCAAAGGAATTAAATTTGATCAGGCATATTAAGTATAAAATAAAAACTGGTTTGTGTCCAGCTCTGTAAGAAATCTATATATCTGAACTGCTGCATAGCAAATAGGGGGACCCCTGATGTAGGTGCTAATGTGGTGCTTTTAATTATCTTCCTCCTTCCTGTCTTATTCGGAATTACTTGTCTTTCAGATTGAAATTGATTGCAAGCAAGAAGTGGTGGTGTATGACCAAAGCTCTAAAGATGTGACCTCTCTCTCATCCGACTGCTTTCTTACTGTGCTCCTGGGCAAACTGGAGAAGAATTTCAGCTCTGTGTATCTCCTTTCAGGTATGATGAACCAAGGGCGGGGGGGGGGGGGGGGAAGCTTGAATAAGGAGAAAAAAGAAAGTGCTATCATTATAGCAGACGTGTACACAGTTTTGCAACAGTGCTGGTATAAACTTCAGTTATGGCATAGCTTTTTCTGTGGTTCTTTATGCATATAGTGACACTCACAATACATATAATGCTTAGAAATTGCATCTTACAGGGGATAAATTACACCATTAGTGCTGTGTAAATGGAAATTAATCAATTCAGAGTTTTTTAGATGCATGTCTGCTATTTTAGGGTCAAAAATAGTAAAAGAAATGGGCTTCCCTAGTCTGTTAAGTATTGCACATGCTAGGAGGAAAATCTCTTCCTTACTGAATTGGTAATTACTGCAATAAGAAGAGAAATATATCTTCCAGAGTTATGGAGATTATTTTGTGTGACTTTTTAAACTTCAGCTCCTTAACTGGTAGTACTCTACTTAGGTCTTCTCCCTCACCACCCCCCCTCCCCCTTTTTTTTGTTTTTTTAAAAATCCCAGGTCAAAACATCCATAGAAATTCAAGTCCTTCTGATACAGGTTTTGTTGGTGTTAATGTGCGTTTGGGTTGTTATTTCTGTCATGGAACAGTAGACCCAGTGTTCACAAGAAGGAACAAGGAGGGGCATGAAGTAGATCAAGGGCTGAAAGAAGAGGGAATGACGAATACAAGTAGGAAATCTATTGCAGTGACTCGATCAGTGATCTAATGAAGTGTATACGTAGTCTCTGAGAAATGTTAAAACTACAGTCAGAGACTGAATAATGATGAGGGAAAGGGAAAGAACTCCAGAGAGATGCTTCCTCTTAGCAAGAAGGTTTCACTGAGGTTTGTAGTGACTTCAGATGAAAGTGACAGGGAGGTGGTTGTGTTACTGAGAGAACTTTTCCCAAACTATTCTGAAAGTGAGTACAGAGAAAATGAATAATTTCTGCACTTGGACGGGTGCATTTGATACTCATGTGAGCTGCACTTAGAGTAAACTAAGTAGGGTTTTGCTTTGGCTGTGTTTGGTGCTTCCGTTTTCTTTGCTGTCTTGGTAAGAATTACACCTGTGGGTCGTGGGCCACAATTTTAGATTAAATAACTCTTCTTCTATATGAGCCCCCAAGTAAATGTGTGGTGTCTAGGCACAGTAAATGCTTAATGTAAGAGTGCTGAAATATGTGGTTAAAACTCTCTTAAATTTAAAACTGTTATTTAAAAAATAGGCCAATCTAGCAGTTCATGTCTCTTAAGAAATCGTTTTATTGTTTGAGTACCCAACTCTGCTCATCTGTCCTGAGGTGGTTTTTTTTTAACAACCAGACACATATTACAGCTCCATGCAGCAATACAGACTGTTCACAACTTAATTGCCCTGCCAGGAAGAGGCACAGCTCTTCAATAACTGAGAATTAGACCTTATGGCAAGGAGGAGTTGGGGGGCATCCTTAATGAGGCCAAGCAAAGGAGAGTATCACAAAACGTCCCTCTATAGATGAGTTGTGTGAGACATGGCCTTGATCTTCTTTTTCCTCTTCTGGACTCTGTGGAGGAGGTGGTCAGAGTGTCTCCATCCTCAGACTTGTTTGTGGCTCCTGTAGGAATGGGCAGTAGGAGGAAGAGGAGGGTTCCCCAGCTCCCCAGTGCAAAGTCTGGGCAAACACCAGTTGCCTGTATCATAATGATGCTATGAGAAATTGTTTTGTTTCGATTTCTAGCACCTGGCAGTTGTCTGTTCAAACTGAAAATGCAATTTAAACCACATGCAAGATATTAGGGCACGTTAGCTAGCTGAGGTGAACTTAGCCACGTGCAGCTGGTAAGGATTAGTTTGGGTGTTAGAGAGAAAGGAAGGGAAAAATGTGTTAAAACTCTCCTTATAGAAAGGAAGATTTTTTTATTTTAGCATGTCAAATGCATTTCTCTTAGCAAAGATTAGATTTGAGAATTTAATCTTATTTTTGGTTAAATAGATAGTGATGGGGATATTTACGAACGCAGAAAGAACTGATGGCTTTAAAACCAGTGATAGAGGAGTATAAGAACAAAAGGGAAATGTAAGGCAAGTGTTTACTACTGATCTATTACAGGTAAGTGCTTATTTCAGGAAATATACCCAACTAAGATAAATCAGTAGTAGTTAACGTCAACTCTATTCCTTCAGCTCTCTAGCATTTCCTTCTTTTATAAGGAGTTTGCTCTGATTTTAATGCTTACATAAGAAAATGCATTTCACAGTCTTGTAGTTTTCTTACATCTATTAAAAAGCTAGCTACTTAACAAATACACACACGAAAGAAACCTTTTGGGATGTGGGGTGAAGGAGAAGGTGCTACATTTGATTTTATGGCAAGTTCCTCGGAGATTATTGATACGTGGCTCTAGGAAACTAGATAAAATATGTTGTCTCAGCAAGCTGATGACGAACTCTCATAAACCTTTATGGCCCATAATGAGAGTAGGGGTCAGTGCACTGTGTAAAAAGGAAAAAACCTTTGGACTTGAATTTTCCCTATGCCACTCAATCTGGTTTATTTAAAATAGTGACCTTAAATAAACATTTCGGGGTAGGAAAATATTTTTTGTTGGGATAGAATAAGGAGCAATTAACAAATATCTGAAATTCCCGCATCTGTTCCTCCTGCCTCCCCCCCATTACTGAGCACTCAGTGAGGTGGTTTTTTATTTAGGTTGTGCGTAAAGGTATGCTCTACCCTGGAGGTTGTTTTTCATTGAAGCAAGTAATGCAAAGACCTCAAAGGAACCTTTACCAATTAGTTTAAGCTCTCATAAAAATATTCATAATCTGGTGGGGAATGTTTTCAGGAATTTAAATATTTGTTTTGGTTCTTAATTTTTTAACAGTGCACAAAATACTGAAATGTGGGTACTGAAGGCTTAACCTCACTCCCATTATTGCATCTACTCTGCTGTGTTAAATAAGATTTAAACACAGGGATGTGACTTGATTCCTTCTCTTCCTCTATTTTGAGAACTGGGTTTACTTTCATGGAGTCTTTTTCCTAGTTGCGGTATTTTTATGCTGTTTCTGCTTGCTCTGCAGAAACAGTTAAGAGAGACTACTGATTCTTGCTTGAATTAGCATTATGAAGGTGGTAAATGTCAAGAGTCTTGCTTAAATTCTGTTCCACTATGCCAATGGAAATCATCCATGTTTTACTTTCCTAAAACACTTGCTCTTCCCTGCTTCTCTTAATCTGGCTTACTCCTACTCATGCAAGCACACGTGTCGTTGTGATGGTTACCTTTCAAATGTTGCCTGTGAAGAAGATGAAGCATAGCTTTCTATTTTGGGGAGAGAGGGTTGGTTGTTTTTTTTTTTTAATACAGAAGACTCAGTCTAAACAGAAGGATTTCTGAAAAAAAAGTAATGCCTACCTTTCTGTATTTCCAGCCTGACATTAAAAATTGTAATAGCCTAACAGAGAAATGCTGTACTGGCTCTGAACTGAAACCAAAAGCAAGAATTCTTGTCCTCAGGTGGATATGGAGCCATGGTAAATGTCCAAGGACTAGCTAAACTTCAGAGTACTGTAATGCAGGATCACAGAAACAGTTTCACTGAACTCTCTAAGAAGTTTTTAGTGCTGCAAGACCAGAGTGTGTTTTGCCAGCAAACAAGGAAGGACGTATTTTTCTGTCAGTGACTGAATTGCCACTTAGACTTGATGTACTGCAGTATTCAATGCCGCAGAGAACAACCAGTATGGAAAACGTACATAACGTACCAGATTATAAAGTGTATGGGCAGAAGGTGAGTTAAAGATACTGGAAGCCTTTTGTGAGCTTCTGGAATTGTTTGTACAGTTTTACCCCCCCCAGTGCCTGTACGCTGAGCTGTAGATTTGTACGTGGCTGCGTTCCACTGGAGCTGTGCTTTTTATTCAGTAGCATTGGTAGATGTCATCGGGGTTATGTATACTTAAATCTTGTCTGTAGAACACTTGCTTTGTGGTTGGAGATAAAGCTGCCATCCTTCAGTCAGATGACCGCTGTCTTGACAAAGGGGGGTCCATAAACTTCTGTGTGCTACTTGCTACACAGGTTATCTGCATAGTTCAGAGAATTACTAATAAAGAATTAGAGATTTTCTAGGTGCCCAGCATGAAACCTGCATCTGACATGCAGAACCGCTGAGCACCGAGCTCGGGAGCCTTCCTCCCAGAACCGTGGTTGGACTGTGGGTACAGTCACCATGTAAAAAAGTGGTGTTGACAGGTAACCGAGGCCCAGGTGGTGAATTGCCTACTCATCTTTGCTACCCTTCTGCCTCTGAAAAACGTTGGCAGTAATGTGATTTAATGGATTTAATGGATTTTGCTTTCACAAGAGCTCTCTGATAAGCTTCTACAGAGCACAAACCTACCATGATAAGCAGAAAGACATAAATTAATAATTTTCTATTCAGTGACGAATGCAGGTGACATACGCAGCGGATAGTGAACGAAGTCATAAGCTGAGTGAGTACATAAAGCAACAGCAGACAGAAGGAGTTCAGTGAGGCTGGGTGAAGGTCCTGGAAACAAAATAGTGAGTGATTAGCCAGGGCCTGTTGCAAAAGGTGTGTTTTTGCTGAAACTTCCCAAATTGTTTCTCTCTGACCTCTCCCACACCTAACAAAGTGTGTGTACAAAATGGAAGACTTACAGGGAGGATGCAAGGAGAAGGAGACAAGTCAGGAACTCTTGTACAGTCTTGTTTATGCTGGCGTTTTTCTTAAAAATACTTGAAATTGCAACCCCATTTAAAGGAATCCTAGTATAAAGATGCCAGTATCTCTCGGGTACATTTACCGTTGTGTTGGCTCTACTTGCCTAAAGCAAAGCTGGATGGAAAAAAAGCCCAGTGCTCTCTCCCTGCTTTGTCACCAGAAAAACCATGCTTTGTGGCAGAGGAGCAGGAAATCTTAAGAATATTCTCTTATAGGTAGAGCTGGTCATTTCTGTCTCCTGAAGTGACCATGGCTAC